CTGGAACAGTACCTGTACCGGCTAATATGGCCGCTCTTGGAGTAAGTGTAATTGTTATACAGAATTATATTTTTGCCGTTAATCGTGATGACTTCATATTTCTCTAGAAACGAATAATAATAAGTTACAGATACACAAGAATATTGTAAAGAGGATTGTTCAAGCAACTATGGAACTTAGTATCGCTACAAAGATCTTTGTGTTAAGAAAAAAACACTGTTATATGATGCCATTAATAAATTCATTTAGGAAAACTAAACAGATATTTCATAACTCAACGCATTTCGTGGGTAATCGCAGGTAAAATTCGGCAGTTCAAAAGTTAAACAACACAATTTTTTTTCATCGCTTTTAACAGACAGTGACTGAAAGACAATAATAGCCATATAAAAACTTTATTTTTACTTGTACTTTTCCTGCACACTGAACAATTATTGTGGACAAAACAATACAATATAATTATACGGGTGAGGTACGTAATAGATTTTATTGTAAATGCAATATTATTTATTAAATTTAAATAAAGAAATCAAATTCTAAAGTACGCCGCACGCTTTTATCTTTGAACTCCATTTTGATATCTGATATCCATTGTGATATCTATATTCTTCATCAGTTACTCTTAGGTTCACTATAAATCGGCCAGTCGATAAACGTGGTATACTTAATGTATAAACCATTTGTAACATTTTTTTTATTTTATTTGCCCGTAGATGCTAATAATGGTCGTCAAACCTGTGACTTCCAAGATTATCTTTATCTAATAGAATATAGTTTTCAATGAAATCATCGGGGACAATGTCAAACAAACATAATTTAATAACATTATTTAAGTCTAAAGTATTTTCCATTAGAACCCTTTACAAGATTTGGTGGCGGGTGATTGTGATCTGTATATGCATGACATATCGCGCCATCGTCGTCGAACATTAGTTTTGCCGGACAATTCTTCCTCTTACTCGAGCAGTACCGAAAACGGGGTGAACGACCGCTCTTAGAAAAAGTATAGTTTTCATATAAGTATATTGTTTTCCCATTTAATATTATAAATGGATTTTCATCTGAAAATTACACGTACATTAATGTAACATTAAAAATGCATTATAAACGTCGATTGTATGATTGTATACTCGTATATCTTGATGACCTTTTATTTCCAAAAAAAATATATTTCTTAAAATTACATACATTACATACATTTATTTTAATATCAGTGCAAATAAAAGAAAAGTAATAATTGTCATTTAATGTATTTACATCACAGAATAAAGTAACACAATGGTATTATCTGTTTGTTCCAAATCAATGACTACTTAATACGCGTGTCATTTAGTTTAGTGGAAATATGTCTTCAATGATTATGTTCATGAACATAATCAATAATCTTGTTGTCCCAAGTAATGAGAATAGCTTTGCAGCCATCACCAGTCCTAACACAGGCCCATCGAGCGCGATGACCCGTACTTCGACTCCGTTTATTATATCGATAGCGTCCCAAGAGGATCACAGGTCTCCCGAATCGAGATATTGCATAAACTGGTGTATTATATTCCATCATACCTGAATTTAAAGTAAATAAATTAGAATGCACCATGACTGCAATGTAGGCATTAAGATATAACTCCTCCTCAGCCATCATGACCGGTTTTCTGAAAATCTTCAAATGTTGGCGATCTTAGTGAATTTTTGACCGACGCATTTCGTGTTTACTGCTACTTACTGCATATTAGAGAAATGACTAAACGAACTCGTATTTGGTTCACTACGTCAAAAGTGAAATACATTACAACCTTGTGGTTGACACTTTTGACAACCATGTCACTTTTGACGTACTACAACGACAATGAACCTGAAATTGATCCTTTAATCTGTTATCCAAACATATATTTGTGTTTCTTTTTGTTACTGGCAACAATCTTAAGTATATAACTTAGTTAAAAGATGGTATTCAAAAACCATAGCCATTATTTACTATAAACGGTTTAGTTATGACTATATTATTAAAATGAAATGATACACACCATGAACGCTAAAAACGTCAAAAAGAGGGCATAAGTAAAAACATGTTAGATTTTCTATGAATGCAGATATTATTTAACAAAAAACATAAACTAAAAACAGCACAATTACAAAAATGTACCATTTGTAACAGCAATCAAATAAAAAACGTAGCTTCCTTAGTTCTGTTCATTTAAAAAGGATAGTAAAGTAATGTGAGCCTTAGTGATTGTGTTCGTGTACATACTGGACTATTTCATTTTCTACTGTAATTAGTATGGCTTTACAGCCATATCCAGTCCTCACACAGTTCCATCTAGCACGGGGACCTTTGCTTCGACTCCATTTATTAAACCGGTGTCGACCGATAAGTATTACCGGTTTGCCGAAACGTGATGTAGAAAATATTGGCGAGGCATCTTCTGTAAAAAATAATATTGAACGTTAACAATTATTTTAAGCCGGGAAGCAAATATATCATCATCATCTAACATTAACTTCTTACAAATAAACAAATTTTCTTTCTTACTTTTAAGCTTTACCGTCTGTTGAATATTGTATTAAAACACCTACAATACTTAATATTTCAGAGACGTTTCACTCATGTTGCCGACTGGCTACTTACAAAGTTATAGGTTTAGGTATAGATATTTATTCTTATTTAAAATTATAATACAATTCATTTAACAGGAGAAAAAGCATTTTTTTAAAGTAAAGATGGATAGCGATTCTTTAATACCTTTAAGAAGCATAACTGAACGCCTTTATACGTAAAATACTTTTTACCAACATAGCTCGTAGTTAGTGTACGATAACTAATATTATTACCCGAATTATCATGTTAAAAAAAAAAATATATAGTTTTGTGTGTGCTTTTTACTATTGACAACAGGCACCCAACGCTTTTTTTTCAAATTTATTTTCTATTTTTTAGCGTGTTTTTTAGTTTTTTAAAACTAAATATTTTTTTTTTAAACTATTATTTTTTTCATTTTTTTTTATATTAGTGTGTTGTCATCGGTCCTCGATATATCTACAAAGTTTAAACGAATTCTGACCGTTTAAAGACAGTCAAAATTACGCCCAAAGGAGTCGGTTACATACAAACAAACAAACAAACAAACAAACATACAGGTGAAGCTAATAAAAGCGTGTTAAAAACCAGCCAGTTCTTTTTTTTATCTGAAGTTTCTCAGCCTGTACTAAAAGCCAAACACAGTACTGTCAAACGATAAAATATTCAAATTAATCATTAAAGAAAAAAATATTTGATTCATAAATGTCTAAAATCTAAAGGCTAAATCAAGTATACGTACCTAGCTTGGGTTTGTCAACATCATACGTGTGTCCCCAGCATAAGCTTTTGCTTTCTTAAGTTGCATAGGAAATTAATTAGTAGCCACTGTCTGAGTATGTGAATTGCGTAAGCAGAATTAACAGTGTACATTATGCGCTAGTTCGTTGCATTCCATAAGCGATTGTATAGCCATGGAACCAAACATACTCAAGGCAAGGTCATTACTATAATTTTATTTAATTTTCATTTATTCTGTATTGTACACAAAAGTATTATTACATTAGTGACAAGGAAATTTAATGTACAAAGGCGAGCTTAACCCAAACCTGAGTTTTCTTCTAGCGAACCCTTAGAGTGAATAGATGATAGCAGAGAACGTAATGATATCGTCATGATTAGGAATAAGTAGAAGAAAAAGTATCTAATTATAGTAATTGGCTAATAGCCACATTCATTTGTGTATAATAAAATGTACATCATCATCATCATCATCAGCCTATCGCAGTTCACAAGATAGTTACATATAGTAACGCAAAGTTACCACATATTTTTAACATTAATAGTCACTTGGAACAGGCAGAAACTTCCAAAGTCTTGTTTCAATCAAGGTATCTTCTTAATTATGCGCCACACACATTATAGTCACGACAGGTAATTTGTTAGTAAAACGATGGTAACACTTATCATTAACTATTTATTAGAAACACAACTTTAATGATAACATTCAAAATGTTAAATAATTATAACACACTCAACAGAGATGTTTAGGTAAGGACATGTGGTGAAGGGTTAAGAATACGGAATGTCACCACCCCTATTCATCCCGTGGGTATCGTAAGAGCCGACTAAGGGAGCAAACTACGCAGGACAACAGCACTGCAAAGAGAAGGAAAGCTTGAAAGCCAATTATAACAATCTTAATAGGGGTAGACGGTTTTAAAGTTTCCGTCGGCTTTCTTACAGAATAGGAATACTGTTAAAATAATACGCGTATGTGACGGTCCCGGCAAAACAAAAATATCAAAAATGTGATGGGGGCGTACACCGCTGAGCCAGTCAGCCTGTAACCACACCCAGTGCAACCTGGTCAAACCTTAGGTATATGATACCTTTTCATAAAATCGTGTCATTTTAAAAACAATAAGAAGATAATTATCAGACTTTCGATAGTTCTCAAGCAAGTAAATCCGATGTCTAAGATTTGAAATAGTATTAATGTACGGCAACTCGACAGGTCAAAAACACTATCAATAAAATGCTTCTTCAGATACACAGTTTGTTGACAAGCACATGAAACAAATTAATTGGACAATCAACAGGCGGCAACGCACTTGTGTCTGTAGGGTTGCAAGTGTTCATGGGCGGCGGTAATAACCTAAACCATAAAAATACTACAAATTTAATGGGACCCTTAAATATATATTTAAGGAGCCTGTCAAATTTGTCAAGATTTATTGAAACGTATGTCAGTTTACCGGGCCTTAATACATCTTTGAAGTCCAAATCAAAAGGCAAAATGCCTTCAATTAATTATGTATGTACCATTAAGTGTTGTATCACAAAAAAAAATTAGTGATATATATCGGACTATTGTTTCTTTTGAATAGCTTATGTAAAAGGAATGGGATCCACTGATGTAAATGATGGCATAAACCTTCTACTGAAGGCCTATACTACGTACACTACTATACTACGTATTTTAAGGTTACGTAGTAACCTTGAAGTATAGCCCATTAGTAGTTTGGAATATCTTCGGCGGTGGATGATTATGTTCTGCACTAGTCAGTTTTATACTACGATCTTCGTTTAGCGTGAGCTTCGCCCGGCAGTTCTTGGCGGCTTTCTGTGAACAATATTGGTTGCGGAACGATACGCCGTGCTTTGAATATGTATAATTTTCATAGAGAAGAACTGTCCTCCCGTTAAGGGAAATAATTTTGTAGCCTGTAAACAACATTATGTTATAAGTAAATACTTTTATTCTAGAAGGTAATAAGGTCCATACTAAGATACATCACAAGAATCGTTAAGATATTGAAATTTCTTTGAATGATATTGCGACGTGCTAGCTGGTGAAAGCACAAAAAAAAAAGATCTCGAATATGTTTTATTCCATTTACTATTTATTTATACATTTGCTTTTAAATTGACAAAAAAAAATTTACATGAGTTTTAGGAAATTGTGGGACAAAACAGGTTTCTAAATAGCAGCTATTTCAAATTTTATAATTACTATCTGTCTTAGTTAGTTATAATTTTGATATTTCATTAAATTATATCGTTCCGTTTAATGTCATAACAAAAATATATATTTAAACTACGTAGGTAGTTTAAGGAAATAAATAAGTAAATTTTTACTCACTAGCATCGATTAATAATAAAAAGTAAATAAATAAATAGAGAAATAGGCGGTCGCGAAATGGCATTTTGGGTGGCTCTCTGCGAAGACTCCAGAGACGGTTCAATGTCTCTAGACTCTTTCAGAACAGAATGTAGTCTCGTACAGACTTTTATCTTGGCCCACACAGTTAATTGACTGGTGACGGTTATGAACGGATATTATCTTTCTAGCAGCTTCTACAACTGATTCTAGCAGCTACTAGATTGACTGTATCCATAAAAGTAAAGAACTAACAAATATCTACAAATTTGTTAATCAAGTGTTTTTTAAGCCTTTAGCTGTGTTTACATAAACATTCGAAATATCGAAAGAGACTAAAAACTGGTATAGGAGCAGTAGGCAATGTGCTAAACTTTAAAGTACTTTCCATCAGATGTACAAACCATTTTGGGCGGGGGATGGTTGTGATCAGTATTCGCCGATGTTATATTGCCATACGCATCTAGAGTGAGTTTGGCCTGACACTTTTTTCTTCTCCTCTTGGAACAGTATTGGTTGAAGATCGATCTCCCCTGTTTTGAGTATGTGTAGTTTCCATATAGAAGTACTTTCTGTCCATTTACTGTAATTATCTTGTAAGATGTTACTGAAAAATTATTTATAGAGCAGTTGCTTAAAACGAGTATACAAAAGATAATAACTAATATGAATTAAAGAAATCAGTAAAAAATGGATTATGAATTATTATTTTAACAATGTTTATTTATTTATTCATACTAGGAGTTCTGGGATTACGACAGGAAAACCGTTCAAATTGAGTTCAATATTTTTCATGACTACAAATTTATTACCTAATAGGCTTATATACTAAATAGTGACATATTATTTAATACAATTAATAATTTATTTTAGCTCCACTTTAGTCCTATTTAAAATCACTCGCGTTTATTAACTACAATATGTAGAATTTGTATTCATGACGGGCATGTTGGTCTAGTGCTAGTCCAAAGGCCAAAGGTCGTGAGTTCGATTTCCACCCAGGACAAATAATTGTGTTATGAGTACAATCATTTGTTCTGTCTCTGGGTGTAATTTATCTATGATATGTATGCAATTAGAAATATTTAAGTTTGTTTATCAGTAGTCTGGTTGTCATAATACAACAGGTTCTGCCTAGTTTGGGATCAAACTGCCGTGTGTAAGGTGGGTGAAGCTATTATTATTAAGTATATGTAGAGAGATGTGAACATATGCCATTATCAGCTTAAAACAATGGGAGATATTTTCTAATCAAATAAAGTTTAAAAATTAAAATATTTGAAGCCATATCTTACTAAAGGCCGAAATAATTTCTTCTAAAATAGTGAACTAACAAGATAAACCATAAAGAACACAAAATGATTGTTAATTATATCAGAGATATAATTATATATCTTTCCTTGCTTTTTTTTCATTTCTCTTCGCGTTTTTTTTAATTTCTTCTGCTTTTAACAAATAACGCACAAGAATACGTCGTTCATTTCACTAAAATACAAATAGTATATTTTAAAGTGAAAATAATACCAAAAGTAACTGTGTTCAAAGAAATACATATTAGGATTTGCAAAGTCACAAGAAATGGAAATACGATCTACTCAATATGGTCCATTTAGAACTCGAATAAGAATTAAAAACCAATTACTGAGCTTGTCTTAGTCTGTCCCTGAGAATTTATTTTCCAGACGTCATTATTGATAGCCCAGAGCGATATCGACTGATGCATAAAGCCACAATATCTTAACTAAACGAAGAGTGGTAGCTCACTTCCATCTGAACTGAAGACTCTTTTATAAAACGCTTTAACACGAAATAAAACCTACATCTTTTTCACAAGGTTCTTAAATACAAAGGGATAATACACAATATATAAAACAGTTTAGACACTACTACATGTGAGGCGTCAACGTCAATAATATGAAGAAAAACATTTAACTTTGAACGTTAAATTATTAAAAAAATACTATATAAAGACAAGCTCTTATCTCGTACATCAAATATACACTTAATGAGAAAATAAATAAAAAATATATATATTTTCACTTCGTGCGTCCTGATAGATAGTTACAGGTAACAAAACTTATTTATTTCGTACGACCTAAGTAATGGCCAGAGTTTGTTTCTTTTTTATGGTTTGGGGAGCAAAGGAGCCTGGGCCTCAATTCTGCTATTTCTTGTTAACGTACAAGCCACTGTCATGCTATTGACAAGCTATTGAAATGACATTGACATCAGTCAAAATATCGGTAATCTACTAATATAAATTTACTATGTCAAAAGACCGTCGGTTTAGTAACAATGGCTCATCAATGTTGATAGCAACATCATTGCCATATCTGGAAAATTAAATATATTATTTCCTTACAAATTTAAAATGTTCCGTTTACCAAACTATTACAAAGACATCGACGACATTTGAAAAAGTGCAAAACTATTCCGACGACAATCTTTTGATACAATTTATTATATATCTGCTATTTTATAGCAGAATTGAGGCCCTGATGGAAAGTGACTAACGACGCCCTTGGACACGTGCAACTCAAGAGTCTCAAGTCCGTTGTCGCCCTTTCAGTTCCCCCCAGAATCAGGGAAGGAAGCTCGAAGGGCGCAACGCACTAGTGACTCTGTACCATAAAAAAGGCAATTAAGATACAATATTTTTGGTAATTTTAATAAATTTTTGATGCTTAAAAATATAATTCTAACACAAGGGTCACACACATTTTACAATTGGAATTAATACTTACCAGAATTGTATTCTTATTTATAAATTATAAACGGTTTTAATCACGTCTGTATTTCGGACAAGCCCGACTAGTTTTGTACCTGACCTGGGTCCTGTAGCAGTGGGTGAGAGCGAAATTCCACATCGCTATTAGGTGTACCCCGCCCGAAATATCCACATGGGTAAAACTGCTTGTCCTTTACAAACATTTTACTATTTAAAATAATCATGACACTATAGTTTATTATAATTATTTTACAGTTACTTTCCGCTGTAGATGCTCACCATAATTCCATACTTTAAACTCTAAAATATTCTCCAGTAGAAGTACGAATTCATTTTGGAGGTGCATGGTTGTGATCGGCGTAGACGCATTTTACATCCCCGTTTTCATCAAGCGTCAGTTTAGCTGGACATTTCAAGCTTACTTTCTTTGAGCAATATCGGTTATTGGACTGATTCCACTTCGAATATGTGTGGCCTTGGTATAGAAGAACTGGTCGGCAATTTATAGTGATAATCTCGTAATTGTTGGCTGTAATCGCAAAAGACTGTATTATTTTTACATTTCAGCTAAAAGGCTAAAAATTGAATATATTCATGTTATAAATTGAATTGAATATATTCATGTTCATCCATCCGTTACTATGCTTTGAAATAAAAAAAAAATATTAAGAGCCAAATCAATTTATTTTCATATAGCAGACTAAATAATACATATCATAAAGAACATAAAACAATTACAAAAGTTTTACCAGTTGTACATCTCGACATATTTATTTTCTTTTCTTTTTTATTACCTTCTTCTGATTTTAAGGTAGGGTCAATAAATAAATCACGCACAAGTAGAAAGCGTTCATTTTACAAAAATACCAAGTATATTTAAGAAATTGTAAATAATAACATACTAAAGTCTGTTTTTTAATCTCGTAGACTAAACTGACATAACAAGTGTTGTCAGTTTATTGCAATTCTTAAATAGTGATGTGGCACAACCGAAACTTAGCGTTAATAAAATCAAGTATCGTTTTTTTACAATAAGTTATCCTGAAATAATGTGTAGGTACTTATTTAAAACGTAATAATACAAAATTAATAATGTAAAACATATATTTTTAATTACATAACTTAATTACAGGTATTCGCGTTAATCTGATTCAGATAATGACTCCATGTCTGAGGAATATTTTGAGTCATCAGAATCGCCACCTACTTCTATAATAAACCTATCAGTAATGTCGTCGGTTATATGGCCCAGATGACACATTTGATCTTCAATTTTAATTACATGGACTACACAGTCTTTCCACCGCTGCGGGGTCACTTGACGAAGCCCTTCTTCAAAAAGGCTTCGTACTTCATTCATTTTGAATGTTTTATTATTTTTAGTGACATGCCCCTTTACTTGAGCCCAGACCAACTCAATCGTTCGTATTACGTATTCGTACAATTGTTCGTATGGTGCCAAGTTCGATAATTGCCGTATTTTTTAAGTTCTGCCGTTTCGTAAGAGAAAAGGGTTAAGATTGCCGTTTTAACGCGTACGGGAACAACACTGATGGCGCCTATAATTATTATTTTTTTGTTTAATTTAAAGGCATCGAAACATGGTCGGGTTACGCATGGCGTTGCGTGGTCAGATTTCCCTGGCAGTTTGTAGCACGTCGTGCAGCCGTGTGTACGTACGTGAATTTTAAATATAAAACTTTGAATGAAAATTAAATTCGTCTATTATAAATAAAAAGTTACGATTCAACAAACCGGTATCGTAGGTACAACTCTGCAGAAAAGAGCTGGCAACATTATTTGTAAATTTGACATTTGCATGTGTCAATTTAGTCTACGAGATTAAAAAACAGACTATAGTATAAGGCATAAGAAAAATATTTACATATCGCACCTTCGGTAAGAAGGTATAAATGACATACATTAAAAACTCATTGAATAAAAAATTTAAAGACTAAACACCTTAAATACATGAACAAGCAATTAAATTTCACTTGAAATAATAGAAGGTAATAGTGTAAGATAATAAGCAAAAATAATAATTTAGAATGGCTCTCCTACAAAATCACAAAAAGTGTAATTATGCCTTTGTCTAAACGAAAGTGTGATATGTTCAAACAAATAAATGTAAAGATTTGTAAGTCACAAGAAAGAGAAATATGATAAACTCAATAAGATTTACAAAATGCTTCAACACGATTTTAAACCTACACCTTTTTTGCAAGGTCCGTAAATACTAAGAGATAATAGACAATGTATTTATGAGTTCATAATATTAAGAATAATACTGAACTTCGTAAGTTCAGTCTATTAAAAAAAGTCTTATCATATCTTGTACACCAAATATTCACTATAGTAAAAAAAACAACAAATAAATTCTCGATGTGCTGAAATTCATAACTATTGGATGATTAAATGTTATTAAAATAGTTAAGGTAACGCAGTACATCTGTCAACCTACGAGGCTAGCGATAGGAATCACAAACCAAATAAGTATAATTATTTATAAACTACACCCTATAATACCGACCGTCAGGTGTCCGTACTATCTTAGGTGGTGGATGATTATGTTCCGTGTACGTATAAGTTATGATGCCGTATTTGTTCAGAGTCACTTTAGCTCCACATTTCAATTTTATTCTCTTGGAGCAGTACTCGGTTCGACTGGATCGATCGCGTTTGGAATATGTGTAGTCCCGGTACAGGAGAACTGGTTTTCCATTTATTATTATTCTTTGATATCCGAACCCTGTGAATTTATTTAAAAACATTATTAAACTATCATATAAAGTAGCAAGTACAATAATAGTTTAAGCAAAACACTTAACTTTAGGATTGATTCTTTGTTGTTGTTGTTGAATTTAATAAATGTAGATTTCAAAACTAAACAATTTCAACATTAAATAAACTTTTATTTTCTTTTATTTTCAAAAGTGTTAGATCTAAATGACTTATTACAGTAGGTATAGTGCAGATCCAAATTTTATACAAATTATAAACTTTTTATTGTTTTGACTATACATATATCCTGTGTCGCGGAGGACTTTACAAACATACATGAGTCCCTTTCATAAAGAACACCCAGACTCAGAAGAACAATTTGTGGATCACACAAATTGGTATCCCATGTGGAGATCCAAATCACAACACTCAGCGCCGTAGGAGTCGGCGACCGCTTAAACCACTACGCTATTCGTGCAGTCAAACGTATTTAAAATCGGTTAACTGTCAACATCCGACTTAAATCTTTGGTATCTTTGCTGACAGACAACAGCAGTACAATTATTTAACATTAGATTGGCCGGCATGAAGGCCGACGCGACCGTGGCGTAGTGGTTTGTGTAACGGACTGCTACCTCAAAGGCCGCGGGTTCGATTAAGTCGAACATTTGTGTTCATTAACAGTTAATGTTTGATTTGATCTGGGTGTTAGGTATAATATGTATGTATTTACAAAATATATATATATTTATATCAGTTGTCTAGTACTCATAGTACAAGCTCTGCTTTAGATGGCGTTGTGTGAACGTGGTACAAAAAAAAGTAATTATTATCAATAACGGTGTTCGAATTCAGATAATATACTGCTACTGCGAAAACGAACGATGATGAAAATTGCCAATTTTTTTTAGCAAAATCTGTCTTCACCTAAATTCTTATGATAACAAAATAAGAAGGCATAATGATATGCAGTTCGTGGCGCCAGCTTCTAGTGCCCTGACTGGCTCACAATAATTTAATTACATAGGTCTACATTTTTGGCTTTTTAAATGCACGACATAAACGTATTCTTTAGTTTTTGTTAGACTAGCCAGCAAAGCTTTCTTATCAAAATCAATATCTGTGTATTAGTACTAATTTGAAACATTTACCATGCACTAAACTTAAAACTGGTTTACAACTCTTTACAACTCTTTATGCCCTAACGTAATTGCCATCAGAAATCCAGACTAATTTCGGTGGTGGATGGTTGTGTACAGTGAACGTCGACTTTATACTCCAATCGTGTTTTAAAGTCACTTTCGCTCGGCATTTGAATTTCCTCTTGGAGCAGAAATAGTTTCGTGACGAAGTTCCCCACTTCGAATAAGTGAAATCTTCGTATAGAAGTACCGGCTTGCCATTGATTACTACTATTTCGTATTCTAAAATCATGAATGAATGATAAGAAAAACAAAATAAACATTCATTAAATATCTTGATCGAGTCAGTACAGGATTTTATTTCCTATGTTAACACATTATTTGAGGTAGGTATATAATACATATATATATACATAATACACACACACATTTCTCAATTAGTATTATTTATTATCCAAAAAAAATGATGAGATTATTACTTCACACGCTCACAAGTTAAATTGCTATTACTTAGACTAAACATATATATAATATATATATACATAATACACATACATACATTTCTCAATTAGTATTATTTATTATCCAAAAAAAATGATGAGATTATTACTTCACACGCTCACAAGTTAAATTGCAATTACTATGACTAAACAAATATTCTAGAAGGCTTTTTAGTTTTAAAACTGTTAAAGGAACACCATCAACTATACTTTCGTATCTACACCTTAAAATGGTAATAAAATTTAGAAAAACTTATCAAGGAATCCATACTAAACCTGTCACCTGGACTGCAAAAGCATAACTAACTTCAGGAATTAAAGCGATAAATAGATCCTTCATGCCTCTGAATTGCCTGACGTTTGGCAAACAGAGGGTGTGTACCACTAGGCCAATTCACCTGTCACCATGACCACTGTAACTTATTTATAACTAACGAAATACCTATTGGTCGTGTTGTTTCCAGAACTAACATCATCTGCCTATCGCCATCCACTGCTACACGAAGGCCTGCCCTAAGACGTGCCAAATATCGCGGTCTTGGGTAGTCCATATCCATCCACTGCCAGCCACTTTACTCAAGTCGACGGTCCAACGTGCCGCAGGGTGTTCTAGAAACAACAAGTAGTCGTTTGCCTAATCGCGGTCTCCCCTCTAACATATGTCGGCTCTAGCGACCATGAGTCCGCTTAGAGACATGACCGGCCAGCGCAGCGTACGGATTATCGGTTACTCTAGTTCCGTTACAAATTTTATCGACTTGAGAAACACCCAGCATCGCACGTTATGCGACTTATAACTTGAGGACCAGTCCAACGGTGAGTGTCCACTTCTTGGCTCCGTATGTCATTACGCATCCTGCATCTGGTTAATCGTTTTGATCGAAGGTATGACGTAACTTTTGGCAAAGATTTTGTAATTTATCATTAATGTAGCGCCTAACGTGGGGCGCCACATTTCATGATGAATAATACAAATGATACAACCGTGTCAGCGGCATTAATAATATGCGCGGTACAGTTTTTATTAAATAAAAAATTCACACTCTAAAGTAGCGGCCATCAGAAGTTTGAATTAATTTCGGAGGTGGATGATTGTGTTCTGTACATGCAGCTTTTATAGTTCCATCTTTATTAAGAGTGACTTTAGCACGACATTTCATAGTCAATTTCCTTGAACAATATCTGGTACAACTTGAACGGTCCTGCTTCGAATATGTGAAATTATCATACAAAAGGATTTGCTTGCCATTTAGTAGTATATTTTCGCATAAAGAAACTGTAAATAAAATTTAAAAAAAGTTTATTATTTTTTAGCGTCAGTAGCGTTATAGCTATGGCGTTGGAGTTAGGATAAACTGTAGTGGGTAGGAATCCCATCCACCTCTACTGGGGTGAGCCGACTCCTAATATAGGAGTAAATTACATGTAAATCATGTTACTAGAATTCCTTATAAAGCTCATTATAACTAAGTATAAAAGAAGTGAAATATACATAAAATTTCTGACCTTTTGCAATCTCATACATCGTATGCTTAAAGCATTTTAATATCCACTACAACGAAAATTTTCGTATAGTAAAATAATAAGGCATGTTCTCATGTTCCTAATTTATTATGACACGACAACACTCACTATGAGGCTTAAGGTAAGAAATAACAAAAGAAATTTCAGCTTACTCCAAACCACCTTATATCAAGTTAAGTTAGATTATAATAATTTCCTCACGAATGCTTGAGGATCATAAAAGTCTATTTAAAATTATGGGCTACAATAAAACTAGTAATCTAGTAGATTAAAAAGTAATAACACAAATTATCACACCAATAAAAATTCCAAAGACATTACGAAATAAATGCGATCGGCTTTTTCGGAAAGCTTTTTTGACAAAATTTGAAAAAATATAAAGAATAACAGCATATTCATTTAAAACACGAAAAACAGTTTCCAATATAACTTTGTCTACAATGAACAAAATTATAAATGTTTATACGTGCAAATGCTATAGAATAAATATACAATACATTAAGAATTAATGTGCTAGCCATATTCGGTTCTCCAACTAGAGTAAATGCTCTACAAAATGCTTTCATTGTAAATGCAGATAGTTTAATCTTTAATTCACATCAATCATTTCTAAATTAATTTACTCTTACGTAAGTACCATCACCCATTTGAACCAGTTTGGGCGGTGGATGATTATGATCCGTGATTGCAGATTTTACAAGCCCAAGCTTGTCAATGGTGACTTTAGCTCGACATTTTGAACTCAACCGTCTCGAGCAGTAGTAGTTTGGCTTTGAGATTCCTTGTTTCGAATACGTGTAATCTTCGTATAGGAGGACAGACTTCCCGTTTAGTAGTATCAACGCGGCTCCGGATACTGTAAGAACGATCATATGATTTTTAACAAATGTATGTCATCAGAGTCATCACTTTTTACAAGAGAGTTTTACTTTAGAGTTTATACTACTAATAATAATACCATTTTCAATCTAAATTATTTTACATTTATTGAATAATGTGCTTTATAAATAATGATCAAACACATAATCATAAAAATTATAGAATATACCCATGTAAAATATAAAAACCTGCGACCAACGTCCAAATAGTAGTAGTCCTAAGGCTCTGAAACCAAGGCTTCGACTAATAGTATTCTCAAGGCGTAATAACAGGGCCTTACAATATCAATATCACCATTCTAGAAGTGGGTATATATACCGCTCGATTGATATTATTTTCCCTTAAAAAAACATAATTACAAAAACTTAAAAGAATTGGTATACGTATTTTTGAAAACTATAATCTGGGGTGGTTTATAGTTTTCAAAAGTATCTTAAAAAAAATATTTATTGCATGTTACGTTAAAATAATATTATTTTGCAATTAAATTATACAAATTCAGAAAAAAGAAGTACCCTGTCAAGTACAAAATAATAATTATACAAAACAAATATTAAAGAAATAGAAATTCTTATTTTATGGCATTTTTAACGAGGAAACGGGTAGGGATGGTAATTGAGTACCGACGCCGATGGACATCTGTCACTCAAGAGTCCAAGTGCCGTTAATATAACAAAAATATAACCTGAGTCAGATCTACGTCATTTGCTATGCAGGTATAAAATGTGGTCATGTAAATTTGCACAAAATGCATATCCAAAAAGTTACAAAACATCTTACTTATCAAAAAGATTAACAGTTATCGTGTAACAAATATTAAAAAAATATTTTTTTAAAACACGAGAAGGATAAATGATTACACGACAAAAAATAACTTTTTGCAACTTATACATGAATCATATCCAGACATATCCCTTATAGGTAAGTAGGTAGGTCTTCATTTTTATAGTAGTTTTTTTTTATTTCGTCAAATCGCTGACTTCAACATTTGAATTTGACACGTACAGGCCACGAAAGATCCTTTCGTTTATTTATCAATCAATTTATTTAGATTAATTTTAATTTAGTGAAAAGTGCAATTAAGTATTACACAGGAAACATAAATCATCAGAGTCCTGATGCAAAATAGTTCGCCTAGTGTGAAATTTTCTCTGTGAGATTTTTTCTAACTTTATTATTTTTGTATATCTACATAAAATATTAAGCTGTTCTACTATCCTATGTCGCGTTACTTATGCATTTTTTAAATTATGAAATTTTTTAAATAAATAAACTATTTAAGCTTTTTAAATTTATACATATCCTGTTTTAAATTCGAAGAAGTTATAAGCAAAATAGTTCGTCTAATTGTTAATTGATGCAAAAGAGTTCGTCTATCGGTGAGTTCAATAAGATTATTCCTTCTTTGTACAATTATGTTGCATAATTTAAATTTGTAAAAGTAATTCTGTGTCATTTGTCAAGTGAGACAGTATAAATTCTGAAAATTTCAGTCTTTTTCATTAGTTTTCAAATACCAATGGGTCGTGGCAAATACGTGTGTGAAGAGCTTCGAAAGCGAATAGTTTGTGGGGTCGATGCTGGCAAATCAAGTTACAAAATATCTAAAGACTTAATACTTCCCAGGTCTATCATTCAGCACTATAAAAAGAATAGAATTACTTCTTGTTTGAAGAAAACTGGTCGACCACGCATCACAAGTGCAGTAGAAAACAGAATCCTAAAGAAAATTATCAAAAATAATCGTCGTGCTCGAGCTCGAGAACTCACGGTGCAATGGAAGGACATGATTCACAAAGACGTCTCAGTTGATACTTGCAAAAGAGTCCTAAAAAGAATGGGTTACGGATTTTACACCGCTAAGGAGAAACCACTGTTGACTGCTGTACAAAAGAAAAAGAGGTTGAAGTTTGCTCGTGATAATTTAAATTGGACTTCTGACCAGTGGCGTAGTATCATTTGGAGTGACGAGTCCAAATTTGAAGTGACAGTCGGCGATGAAAGGAAAAAAGTGATTCGGAACAAAAATGAGGCATTTCATACTGATTGTCTCAAACGCAAAGTGAAGTTTCCGGCGTCTCTTATGATATGGGACTGCATGTCTGCACAAGGTGTTGGTGGTATACAGTTTGTGGATGGTTCTATCAATGCTGCAAGGTATCAAAACCTTTTGGAAGAGAATTTACTGCCCTCTATTCCGTCACTTAAGCATCAAGATTTCTTCATTTTTCAACAGGATGGTGCTTCCTGCCATACTGCAAGGACAACGAAGACGTGGCTACTTGCGAAAAGCATCCCTACAATCGAATGGCCATCTAACAGCCCGGACTTGTTGCCGATCGAAACCCTTTGGTGGAAAATGAAAAAAGTTCTCCGTAAAAATCCATCAAGATCGAAGAGCGACTTAAAGGCTAAACTCTTGGCTGTCTGGGAGTTAATTACGCCTGAGGAGTGTGCAGCGTTGGTTGCAACCATGCCCTTCGCATTAAAGCTGTCATTGAGAGCAAAGGTGACACAACTAAGTGGTAGACGAATTATTTGCGTTATTTTGAATTATTTTACTTTTCTTCAAGAAAGGGCGATAATACCTTATTGAAGAACTACAGGCCCATCACACTGCTGAGCCATGTCTACAAGCTGTTTTCAAGAGTCATCACGTCCGTCTCGAGCGTCGGTTTGATGACTTCCAGCCTCCCGAACAAGCCGGTTTCCGAAAAGGCTTTAGCACCATAGACCACATACATACGCTGCGGCAGATTATACAGAGACCAGATTATACAGAAGACCGAGGAGTATAATCTTGGGCAGTCGGTACATCGAGGTATTGAATGTCAGTTCGAGTGCAGGACCAATACACGAAGGCAATTCCATTACAGAGAGAGGTAAGACAGGGATCATTTCTCCGAAATTATTTCTCCGAAACTGTTTACCGCTGCTCTGGAAGATGCCTTCAAGCTCCTGGAATGGAAAGAACTTATCATCAACATCAATGGCGAATACATCACTGACCTTCTATTTGCCGACGACATCGTAGTCATGGCAGAATCGCTGGAAGACCTGGGACAAATGCTCGCTGACCTCGACGGAGTTTCTCAACAGATCGGCCTTAAAATGAATATGGACAAGACAAAAATCATGTCGAATGTGCATGTCGCGCCGACTCCCATAGTCGTGGGAAACTCTGTCCTCCAAGTTGTTGACGAATATGTCTACCTAGGACAAACGGTCCAATTAGGTAAGTCCAACTTCGAGAAAGAGGTCAATCGTCGAATCCGACTCGGCTGGACAGCGTTCGGGAAATTACGAAACGTCTTCACGTCCAAAAAACCTCAGTGCCTAAAGATGAAAGGCTTCAACCAGTGTGTGTTACCAATGATGACCTACGGAACTGAGACGTGGTCTCTTACTATGGGCCTAATTAGAAAGCTCAGAGTCGCTCAGCGTGCTATGGAAAGAGCTATGCTTGGCATTTCCCTGCGTGATCGAATCCGCAACGAGGAGATCCGCAGGAGAACAAAGGTAGTCGACATAGCCCAACGGATTAGCGCGCTGAAGTGGCAATGGGCAGGGCACATAGCAAGGAGAACTGACGGCCGATGGGGCAGCAAGGTTCTCCAATGGAGACCACGTACTGGAAAGCGCAGTGTGGGACGACCGCTTACCCGATGGACGGACGACCTGGTAAAGGTTGCCGGAAACCGTTGGATGCAGACTGCAATCAACCGTCCCCGCTGGAAATCATTGGGAGAGGCCTATGTCCAGCAGTGGACAAGCATAGGCTGAGGTGATGATGATGATGATTTACTTTCTATATTTTACGCTTTGCACTACTTTCCATACTAGACGAACTATTTTGCATCGGGGCTCGTATACAATTAACAACATGGAAATGTTGTTACAAGTTCAAGAAGCCTATTTATTTAAATAATTTTATTAATCTCAATTACAATCCGGTTTTTAAATTCATGTATTCACCTATTTACAGTCTAATATACTTTCCATCAGACGTTCGGAACATTTTTGGTGGAGGATGATTGTGGTCCGTAGATGCAAACTTCACAGCTCCGTGCTCATCAAGTGTGATTTTACTTCGACATTTCAAATTCGTTCTCTTCGAACAGTAATAATGAGGCACAGCAGGACCCTGCTTAGCAAATGTGTGGTTTTCGAATAAAAGTACCGACTTTCCGTTTAATATTATCATTTGGGGCTCCAGTTCTAAAAATGTGAATTGTGTTTAATGGTTTTTAGCGATACTATATTAGGACAATAATTTTGTTATCTCAGTAAGTAATAACTTGTAAGTAGTTACGGAGTTCCTTAGGCTCTGCTGTAAAATAAGGACATAAAATACTACATAAGGACTTTGAAAATAACGGTACAGCAAAAAGCTACAGAATATTTATGCACAAAGATTAAAAAAATATATATATATTCAATATTGTTAAAAAAAGATGGTTAATTTCAAGTATTTTAATTTATTATAAACTTAACCTTACTCATATATCTCAAATGAAAGACAAACCATTCCAGCCTCATATTGAAACGGTATGGTCATCTATATTACTTATCCTAATCTATATTATTACAGTCGACAAGTCAAATATCTAAAGTTAGAAGAATAATTAAGCTTAAAATGCATTTAGTCGCAAAAAAAAAATATTACTCAGTAAAATTGGTAAATATTGAATTATAAAAAAAATACCGTTACATAATTAAAAACAATATTTGTCGCCTGAACATAGTCTTAATGATTGAAAAAAATACAGCAAAAGAAACATGTACTGGCATCAACATATAAGGAAATATATTTCAAATTGGTGTCCACATGGTTGAAAATTGGACCACAAGGCTTTAGGCAAGGTTTTACTACAAAGATTGTAACTTTATACTTTTAAAATATTGCCTAACATTTTTGGATGAAATACCATATTCAAAGTATATAACATTTATTACATTTTACAATTTTAGGAAAACATTCGGTTCATTTTCA